CCCCAAAACCCCAAAACCCCATGATAGCTAAAATAGGTTTTTCTAGGAGAAAAATGAATTTTACATTTAAAATTATTACAGTAGTTTAAATTGTTCAAGATTACAAAAAATAGCTTACTCTTAATAACTTATTCCTAATTAAGTCATATATTTAGGAGTAATCTTGATTAATAATTATTAAAGTTCAAATGATATCGAATTTCTCTCTAATTTTCACCTTAATTGGTGTTATCACAGCTCCACTTTCATTTGTGTCTTGTGAAAAAGATCATTGGGCTGTCTTAGTGGCAGGTTCAAATGGGTTCTGGAACTATAGGCATTAGGCAGATGTATGCCATGCTTATCAAATTCTTAGGAAAAATGGAATGCCTGAGGAAAACATAATAGTGTTTGCATACGATGACATAGCTAACAACCCCTAGAATATTTTTCCTGGACAGATTTTCAACAAGCCAGACGGAAAAGATGTATATGAAGGATGCAAGATTGATTATAAGGGCGATGATGTTATACTTGATAACTTTGTGAATGTTCTTAAAGGTGATCATGAGAAAATGAAAGGACTAGGAAACGGGAAGGTCCTTAATAGTACCAAAGATAGTAAGGTCTTTGTATATTTCACTGATCATGGGGCAACAGGCATACTTGGCTTCCCACAAAAATATCTCTACGCAGATGATTTGATTTCAAATCTGACTTATATGCACAAGCAAAATATGTACAGTGAATTGGTATTTTATGTTGAAGCTTGCGAATCAGGTTCAATGTTCCAAGGTCTGCTAGATCCCGCATTGAATATATATGTAATGACAGCTTCTAATGCAGAAGAGAGTTCATGGGGAACATATTGCTATCCTGATGATCTTAAGGATGGCAAGCATCTTGGTACTTGCCTCGGTGACTTATTCTCAGTAAACTGGATGGAAGATACTGACGCCAATGATATCTTGAAGGAGAGTTTACTCACTTAATTTGAGACTGTTAAGAATAAAACTGACTAGTCACATGTAATGCAGTATGGAGAGTTGAAATTCGTGGATGAGCCGATTGGATACTTCTAAGGTAACTTTGATCCCAAAACAATAAAAGCAATATTAAAAGAAAAAGACTAAAATAGCCCAATTGATGAGATTTTTAGAGATGTTAAGATAGGACATAAAGAACATAAAAATAAATAAGGCTTTTGGGATTCTTTTGTCAGATCTGTAAAAGAATTTGTTTTCACGCAACAACCAATATATGATTATAAAGTAATGAATAAGGGAAGTTATAAATCAGAGTAAGATCAAGATGATTTAAAGTATAGAAGTAGCATTAACTCACGTGATATAAAATTGCACTATCTTTATACCAGAATATTCTTAGATAATTACGAATCACCAATCTATCAACTTGATTTGAATCAAGAACTAAACAACCGAATGAGAGTTGACTATGTCTTCGAGCACTTTAAAAATAGAGTCAATTAAGACCCTTAAAACAAAAATGATATAATAGTGCCTAGATAGTCAGTTTTGCCCAGAAATTTCGATTGTTTGAGATAGTTAGTTGAGGCATATGAAGGGTAGTGTGGTCATCAAATGGATGAGTATGAGATGTAGTATGTGAGATACTTTGTCTAGGCATGCGAAAAAACTGAAATGACTGAGGAAAATAAAAGCCAGAAGATTCATGAGTTAAGGGAGAAAATTATTGATACCTGTAAAATCTCATTTTGATTATTAAGATAAGTTGAATTTTACTGATTAAAAATTGACTATTAGAATAGTTAGTCATAGTCTTGCGGGGTTTTGGGGTTTTGGGG